AAAAAGTTTAAAAATTTTTTTTTTTTTTTTTTTTTTTTTTTTGGACACAGGGTTTCACTATGTGTAGCCATGGCTGGTCTGAGAACTCGCTATGTAGTCTGGGCTAGTCTTGAACTCAGAGAGATAAGTTTGCCTGCCTTTGCTTCACAAAAGCTGGGATTAAAGGAGTCTGTACCATCATGCTCCCAGCAAGAAGTCTGTTTTAACAAATCTTCCAAGTACCTTTGCTAAGGAAATGAAATATATACTACAGAATGATTCTTATTTGACACCTTCTAAGAAATTCAAAATACAATCTATCAAGAGCAATCAGTTCTGAATTTCATTAAGGGATTTAATATGATCAATAATTAATTTAGTTGCTTACTTTGACCAATTAAAATTAAGGACTTTATAAAATAGACAAAAAATATGGGAAACAGAGGAGATTTAGTAAAAAATTGCAACATATAAAATGGTAAATATCCTAAACTCTTAGAATAAATTAGAGCACTGAGGGCTTGTATGAATTAGGGAGTAAAATGTCTCTGTGAGAGGAAGCTAACTCTCAAGTCTGTAAATTTACTCTTCTTAAACTATTCTAATTTTATTGCATTACTTATCAGGTAGATATAACTTTTAAAGCAGTACATTCTCCACTTAAGCCAAAAAAATAAAACTCATCCCAATAAAGAATATTTGATATACAGAATTAATACGAATTGTTTTAATAATTTTAATAATTATTTAATAATAATAATAAATTGTTTCAATAATCCTTGGAGCATTAATAGAAAATGCAGCAATAGGGCATTACATTGATATAAAAATATGACAGCTGTTTAGGAGGTGGGAAATGTTACCAACGATAAGCAAGTGAAACTTAGAATGTGTGTTAAAGAAGAAAGGGTTTGAGAGCTTTCTGTAACAGAGTATGGGGTACCTGGGCCTGCATTTCTAGAAGTGATTCTAGAACATAAATAGGACATATGAAACTGGTGATAGGAGTAGAGAAGTTGAGGATGTTTATCTCTAACTTTAAGAACCTAACATGGAGCTGAAGAGATGGCTCAGTGGTTAAGAGCACCAACTGTTCTTCCAAAGGACCTGGGTTCAATCCCCATCATCCACATGGCAGCTTACAACTGTCTGTAACTCTAGTTCCAGGGGATCTGATACCTTTACCCCAATGCATATAAAATAAATGTTAAATAAAAAATAAAAGAACCTAACATGTATTAAACATGGTGACATATGCTTGCAGTCCTAGTACTCAGAGGGCTGAGGCAGAAGGACAGTAGTTTGAGGCTATTCTGGGATATATAGTGAGTTCAAGGACTGTATAGTGAGACACTATCTCAAAAAAGGTACTACATGTTCTACCAGCCCTTTATCTGGAGCTGTGTATTCTACTTACTCATTCTTGCATTTGCTCAAACATACTGAACATTCTACTCCATGTCAGAGTTGTGTAAAGCACTGGGTACACCAAAACCAGTAGGATAAAATGATTTATAAAACCAGCACTACTTTTGAAGAGCTTACTACTCCCTCTGGAATAAAAACTATTTTCCCACAAATCAGTCGTTCTACCTTAACTGTTTTCAAGAATTTAAAATGAAGGTTGTGTGCTTACTGACACCAACTATTCTATTACTCCCTTTTCATTTGAATTTCTGTTTTAGAAGCTATATGCTTTGGCTAAATATTAGTACCATCACAAATGAGGCTCCACTTACATTGAAGCAATTTCCTATGGGAAACTTATCTCTTCAAACACTAATAAATGCTACTGATGGCTGATTCAGATATGGAAATCTTGGAGAAATCATTTCCCAACTTTATATTGGACTTCAAAGCATTTCATCTTATAAATTTCTTAGATAAATGAGCTGGAATTTATTGATCAATCATGACCTGGTATAATTGTGAGTTAGGTTAACTTTGTATGTTAAGAATGTATAACTACTCCTCAGTTTCTCCCCAAGAAATCCACGGAAAACCAAGAGAGCTCTTTTCCTAAGTCAAAGTTGTAAACATGCCAATACCTGAGAGAAGGTGTTGGAACAGAGTCTGGATTGGCTGGTACTTGAACTCCCTTTTCCCATTCTTCTTTCCATGTGTCAGTAAAGAGGTAATAGCTGTCAGGATTAACATGGTGAGAGTCAGGAATTTTCATGGCACTGATGAGGTCCTTTCGGAATACCTGGGAAAATACAAAATATATTGCACATAATTTAAAATCACCATGAAACTGGTACTGTTTAATGTTCTTAATAAAAAGATTATCCTTGCTCAACATCTCTAATAAGAGAAACATCTCCTGATTCCTAAATGGGCATGACAATTTCTGTTTGGGAAGATTTGGCATACTGACAGGGAAGTCAGCTCTTCTAGATTTAATAAAAGGTAAAAGGACTTCTAGAATGTTTTTGGCTTCTTGAATTTAAATAAACAATATAAGTTATTTCAAAGGAGTTTTAATTAAAAGAAAATCATTAACTCTCTTAAAGTAACAAGTATCTGCTGATGACTTACAATTAATCAGGCATTATGTCATTTAAAATTTTACTTAGAAATAATTGTACTTTAAGACCAGCATGGCCTTCAGTTTTAAATCCTGTACAAAAAATAAGAAAATGGTATAGCATTCTTATATTCTCTTGAGATAGTTTCACATACTATTAGCACCTTAAATTACCAGGGTAAATTGTTGAAATTTTTGTTTGTTTTGCTTTGAGACAGGTTCTCACTGCATAGCCCTGGCTGACCTGGAACTTGCTAGGTAGACCAGGCTGGCCTAAAACTAAGAGATTATCTTGCCTCTGAAAAAATTTGACTTAGTTTTGAAAAAAAAAATCTCACTCTGGTTCAGGTTGATCTAGAACTTGCAGGAATCCTCCTGTCTCAGCTTTGTAATGCTGGGATTACAGGCCTGAGTTGCTATACTGGCTCCTAAACTAAGAAATTAACATTATGTTATACCACTGCCTAATCTATAGACATTATTCAATTTACACCAAGTTGCCTTAGTATCCTTCTGTTCTGGAGTTCAACCCAGGATCCTCTATTACAACACAGTTATACCTCCTTGGTATCTTCTGATCTATGATAACTTCTCAATCTTTCCCCATTTTTCATGATTGACACTTGAAGAGTATTTGTAATATATTTTGGAGTGTGTCTTGCTAACTGGGACTTGTCTGGTGTGCTCTTACTGGTTTGAGAATATCCATGTTTGGGATTTGGGGTTTCTTTTGGTAAGAATATCACAGAAAAATTGCTGTGTTCTTATTCTATTTTTATCAGGATGTATAACATTAAATGTCTTGTTCAGACAATATCTTGTTAAATTAGTGCAGATGTTGGTTTTTATTGCTGTTATTTTCCTTTTGTAATGTAAGTATCTTGGAGTAGACACTTAGAAGACCATAAAAACATCTTGCTTCTCAAATTGTTACAGTTGTTTCCTATTTAGTGGAAATTATTGATGTCTTACATGAAAATATTTGCTCTTAGTCTGGATAAGCACTTTTAAGGCACTTGAGAAGGTATATTCTTTATTGTCTATAGTACCAAAATACACAATTTGATAGATATTAGAGCTACCTTACTATGCATGTTCTTTAGAACTTCTATTTCCTAATCTGTTTTTATTTACTTAATCTGTCTGATACTTTAAGATGGGTTCTGTTTCATTTTCACCCCTGTCCTGCTGAAGATTCATCCTTGGGCTTCATATCTGCCAGGTGAGTGCTCTATTCATGCTCCCATTTTATTTTTGTAAAGCAGGTTTAAGACTGTAGCCCAGGCTGGTCTCAAACTTGTGGCAATCCTCCTGCCTCAGCCTCTTATATGTGCTCATATTATAGGCATGAACCCCCATGCATAATCTTTCAAGTGTGTCATATTTTGTAATTACATTCATTATGCTATATTTTGTGTTTCTTTCTCCACCAGATTGCATTTTTTATTTTCATGAACACACAAGTGTATGCATATGTACCTAGAGATACATTATACTTCAGAAAGTTGGCAGCTTTATTCTAGTTATCTTTATACTTACAACTTTATTTTAGCCAGCTTTTCAATGTTTCTCATTATCAGTGAATTACTCAAGGGTGAGAAAGATATGAATGATAAATATGCTGTGGCAGGCAAGAGACTCCAAGTGAGGGCCTAAAATTCCATCTCTTTCAAAGAGACCTAACTGTATTGAAGTTCAAGTGAGAGAGGTAGGGCAATGATTAATGTACACAGTTACAATTTGGACTCAGGTAAACTAGTCAGTAAATGTGATTCAAATGTTTATGGTAGCCAGATTTCAGTTCTGCCTTGTCATCAAAAGAACAAAAAGGTATAACTCTAATTCTTAAGCTAACATGGCAATAATTTGTGTAAAAATGCCCAGTTAACATATAAGCAACAAAAAATCACACTTTTACATGCAAGCATACATATGCTGGTCTATGCTTCACAATGTCTACTATGAAAAATCATACCATTTACAGGACTAAGATGAATGTGCCTACATTTCTAGAAGATCAAGAGAAGAGACACTATCAAGCAAATTTTAGTCTTTAATGCTTATCAAGTCTCTCAAAGGAGAATGTCCAAGTTCTGTATAATATAAAAGTTTAAGTACATATAATGACCTGATAAAACAATGAATTCTCAGGAGCTGCAGTCTTGTTTAAACTGAGATAATTTTTACAAAGTATAGGGCCAAACTATCACATAATCAAATGATGCCATTTAAATGAGGAAGAGCTCACTCCATTTTGTACTTTGTAGGGACAACTGAAAATGTTTGTTGGTTTCACTTAGGAAGGATTTTTATGGTACAGCATAGAAGTAGTCTACATTAAACACAAAGGTGGTCAGGTGGCAAAAAAACCATCTTACTAAGAATCCTGGCAAATTAAAATTAATTGGGTGATGCACTGGAAGAAAGCTAAGGCTACAAGAAGCAAAAACTGGTTTATTACATAATGCTTCATATAAGTGGATAAGAGATCACAGACATAACTGTTTATACCATGTTTTAAAACACAGAGCTCAGTGTTTTAAGTGATTAGGAGACAATGAATCATCATTTTGCTGAACACTATAATCCAGTTTTTATAAATTACTAGAGAGCCTTTAATAAGCCAGTGGCTAAGTAGCATTAGTAGTTTATAATAACTAATGTCTTTGAGAAAAAGGTAGTATTGTGGTAAATCCTATCTTATATCTGGAAAAGACAACTAGAGCGAAATATCTGACAACAGCCCCATATACTTCATTATTTTCCAAATAATGTTCTTAAAAAAGTATTTATTTTTATAAACATGAATGCTTTGTCTGCATATATGTGTATAACCACATGCCTGGTTCCCACAGAGGAGAAAGGGGCATCAGATCCCCTGAAACTCTGAGTTGCAGGTGATTTCGAGCTGCTATGTAGATGCTATGTAAGTGCTCTTAACTGCTGACTCACCTCTTCAGCCATATATATCAACTGATTATGAAATCACACTATGAACTTTAAAAGGCCATACCATCAAATGACACAGTATACTCTATGAGTTCATACTTTATAAGTCTGCTTATGAAAATCTGCTCTATATCGTTTCTTAAGTAACCTGGATACATGTTAGTAGGTTGATTGCCCATATCCTAATTTCCTGAATTCATAGATGTTTAAATGTTTAGAGAAAGAGGCTTTGTAGCTTTATTAAGTTAAGTATCTAGAGAAGAGATGATTATGGAATGTCTGGATAGACTAAATATCTCGTAGTAAATGCCCTTAATAGATAAAGGTAGAGGGAGATCTTTGAGAAAAGGACTGGAAGGCAGTGATGTACTGATGAAAAAATAAACAAAATAAAAAAATACCACCAGAAACTAAAAGAAGAATGGAACCTCCCCTAAAATGTCTAGAGTTCAGACTGGCTGATTTTGGGATTTCTAAACTCCAGAACAAAGAAAAAACCCTTATTATTTTAAGTAGCCTACTTTGTGGTAATTTATTAACCCAAGCCTAGGATGCTAATATATATATATTTACCCAACAAAGGAGTAATTTAAAAGACTACAGACAAGTAAAGCAGAGACTAATGACATCTGGTCCTTGTCCATGGCTCAAGAAATACTGAAAGTCCAGGGATCAGGTATTCTGTGAAGTCTGGGAAAGTTCAAATTGCAGACTAACCAACAAACTTACACTCATTTTCCCTAAGCAAATCAAAGGTAAATCCAATAGCTAGTACAGTTTTGACTTCCCCTTCTGAGAAAAACAGATGGCTTATGTGATAAAGCCCAATTTCAATTTTATGCTAGTTACATTAAAAGGTGTCAGACCAAGCTTTCTAGAGAAGCATTATTTTTTTACTTAAAGTATAGTATAAAAGTCTGCATTATCCTGATATATAAGTCAAATATTTCAAGCATGAGGCAAAATAGAAAATGCTGAAGAGATGGACATGTAGGTTCAGCAGCCAGACATATCTGCAAAATGATATGAAATATATTTACTGTACTGGTCTTATGAACCTATTTTTGATTAGAAAGTGTATTCTCAAAGCTTAAAAAATATGAACATAAAGAAAATAACTAAAGCATTTTCTGATATATACACATACATGCATATTTGAATATGTTTTCATAAAGAAACTATCAAGGGATAACCTAAAATATGTGCAGGTGAGGCAAAGCAAAGGGAAGGGAATATCTTAGACTGTATCTTATTGCTATATAGCATTTGAGGTTGACTCATTTAGAAAGAACACATTTATTTGGCTCATGGTTCGAGAATCTGGAAGTTCTAAGACAACAGTGCTTTTATGTGGTGAGAGTCATTCCTGTAGCATCCTCGGGTAGAAGGGAATAAGAGCATGGGATAAAGATCAAGACAAGACCAAATCTGGACTTAACAACACATCCATTCTTATGACAGGCAGAGGGAAACAAAAGCTGGATCTTTTTAAATATATTTTGTTTTATACCTTGAATTCTCTATCTCACTCTATTCCTCTGTAAGATGGGGATAGTAACACTGTTCATATGGGTTGTTTAGAGGATTAATTAGGTATATTTGTATAAAAGGCTCAGCAATGTATTGGGTTTACTGTGGTTGTTAATAAACATTAGTTGGAGTTATTTTAATAAAATCATTAGTCTCAGCTTTCCTTATAAAAGCAAAAAGAAGTATATAGCCGAGTCCTA